TTTTGCACAACTGGGCCCTGTGGGCAACTTCTGTGCGGTGTATTCATAGGAAGAAAACTTGATATTTTAAATTCTCCTCCCTTCCTCTGAGAGGCTGCTGCATATTCAGCACAAACCCTTGCTTCTTGTACTTACAAGGCTGGAAACATGCCCATTAACCCAGGGGTCCAAACACAAAGGACCCTCTGGTGACGGTTTAGATAACTTGGAGCAGTTGTTTTCCAAGCTTCTTGGATGAAGAGAATGGCCTGGCCTGGGAGTCTAAAATACTCAACACCTCTGGCAGACTTTTTGTTCAACTCTGCCTTTCAGTGGATTCATCAGAAACAGAGAGAGAGCCTTTAAGTTCAGTTCAATAGTATTTAGTGAGCACCTGCTATGTATAATAGTGTTATCTAGTGCTGGATGATAAATCCTATATAATAAAAGGCTAATATGCAAATCAACCGAATGGCTGAATGACTGGTTGCTATGATGTGCACTGACCACCAGGGTGCAGATGCTCAACGCAGGAGCTGCCCCCTGGTGGTCACGGCTGGTGAGTGCATTTCTGCCTCTGCTGCAGATGAGCAGTAAGGAGTGAGGGGTCCCAAACTACTAGAGGAATGTTGGAGTGCCAACCTACACCCTAAGACAGCAGGCAGACATCCCCAGAAGGGTCCTGCTTTGTGAGAGGGTGCAGGCCAGGCTGAGGGACACCCCCCACCCCCACCCCAAGTGCACATATTTCCTGCACTGAGCCTCTAGTATTAAATAAGACAAGGTTCCTGCTCTCAAGCAGTTCACAAAACAATTAGGGAAATAACATGGGCAGCTTGGAAGGAATAGTACTATTTTTAAGGAGCTAACCCCAGGACACATGATAATATAATTAATTAAAGTAATACCTTTAGACTTTGGAATTAGTAGCTACCTGAAATGTTCCATAGAGATTCCTTAGGAGTAACTTACCTCATGGCAGTGTTTTGCTAACTATACAATGGAATCTTTGATAAGAATCTTGTTCTTAACACCTTCTAGGTTATTAAGTAAAGGGAAGTGCTTTGAATGTTTTTGACCCTTAATGGGGGATGATCGCTATGCTGGGAACATTCTAGGAACACTTAGAATTCTCAATAAAAGTGTATCCTGTTGGCCCTGGCTATGTGGTTCAGTGGGCTGGGCATCACCCCATACATCAAAAGGTTGCCGGTTAGATTCCTGGTTAGGGCACATACTCAGGTTTCAGGCTCCATCCCAAAAGGGGGCATGCAGGAGGCACGATCAATATTTCTCTCCCTTCCAGTCTCTCTAAAAGAACAATGAAAAATCTTTATAAAAAATATATTGTGTTAAAAAATAAAATACACTCTGTTTATGGGAGATAAGCCCTCTGAGATTCAAAGTATTGTTCCTGTCAACAGCTGGTTCTGTTTTTTCATGAAATTTGTGGCCATAGGGAAAAATACTGTAAGATAGTCTAGAATTAAACTTTAGATGATTCTTTTTAAAAATATATATATATTTTATTGATTTTGTACAGAGGAAGGGAGAGAGATAGAGAGCTAGAAACATTGATGAGAGAGAGTCATCAATCAGCTGCCTCTTGCACACCCCCTACCGGGGATATGCCCGCAACCAAGGTACATGCCCTTGACCGGAATCGAACCCGGGACCTGTCAGTTCCCAAGCCAATGCTCTATCCATTGAGCCAAACCGGTTTCGGCTAAACTTTAGATTATTCTAAAGTTAATACCTTGTGATAATGTTTCAGAATGTCTTACAAAACTCATTGACTATGTTTAAGCACATGCAATCTGTTTAACCATATTTCATTATTTAATGAATTGACTGTAAGATAAAATTGAAGTAGTACTTGACTTTGTTCTCTTTGGGGTTCAGTATATAGTGTATCAGGAAGAGCTTTTTGGTTTTATAAAGACTGATTCTCTTGGTACTTGTATAGTAGATACAAAAAGTTTAATAGCTGCTTTGTTCAACCGGTACTCAGAATAGTTAATGGAAAATTAAAACTGAGTTCTTAATCATTAAGGTATACATTTATGCTTTCTGCCAAAAAAAGCTTCAGTTTCTCCACATTTCTCTGTTGCTGCCTGCATTCCAAACTAATTTTTGTAACAAGGAAGGGAGATGCCAATATTGACTTTAACTATTTTCAAGAACAGTAATATCAACACTGATCTTGGTTCATATCTTCACGTAGCTCTGAATATGTCAACTGCACTATAGGCCTAGTGCTTTAGATTGCATCTGTCTTATACCAATGGCTAAGAACATACAGAAGAAAGACATGGGGTTTTCACATTTAAGTTTCACTACTTATTTTGGGAGTTGGAATTCACAGTGTCCTTAAATATATTTGGTACCTAATGAAATACCAAACTTCTGTCTGAATACAATTTGAGGAAGGTAATATAAAGTTAGCAGGTTGTATTTTATTTTCTTAATTCCATAATACTTAGTCCAACTTGCTTTTATGTTTCATAAACATTACTAAAGTAAGAGAGGAACCATATTCACTTAGACTGTGATTTGTTAGTTTAGTTACATTGAAACACTCATCTTAAGTCATGTATTTCCATTTTTCTTTCATAGAAAAGGACAAGGTCATAAAAAAAAAATGACCATTTTTGTTTCAAACTTTTTTTGCTTCCTTCATCTTTTCACTCCATCCCTCATCTTATGATTTTGGTGCTTATCATTGCTAGAGACCTAGGGTGTGATTAAACACAATAATTGCATGAATAATGTTTTGGTGAGAATTGGTAACTATAAGTCCCTACATTCCCTCTTCCCCCTTTTCTTTCCAGGAATGGGCTATTTGTGAAAGAAAACCTTAGAAGATGACTTGAATCTGGTGCTTCCTGGATTTAATGTCTAAGTATTTACTAAACTAGAGTTTAAAAAAACATATTTTTCATGTGACCAGCTTATAAGACTTTGGTGCAATCTCAAGATTTAGAATTTAAGGTGGAGTTTGGTGAAACGTGGTTATATCTGTTTTTAAGACACTTCAGACTAGTTACTTTATATGGATTTGGTGTACTGGCATTAAACTTCTGAGTATTTCTTAGGTGTAAAACCCATTTCCAACAAATTCATAAGTGAAGCTAAGTACAAATCCTCTGATTTATTGCTAACATAGGTTCAAAATTCATAGTAAGATGGGTCCTGTTTTGAAGGCTAAGAGACGCGAATAAAAATATGAGTAAGTTCTATGTTAGAATACTCCTTCCCAAAACGTTATCCTTCTCACATCCAGCTCAGACCAATCTCCCCCTGTTATTTTTTCCTCTTTAAAATGTTCATAGATTTTTGTATCATTTCAATAGTTTCTTGACTACAGTGTCAGTTGTTTCATGTATAGGAATCTGTAAACTGCTCACTGGAATGAGAGAGTATTGAGGGCAGTTATAGTATTTGAGACTTCTTGTGCCTCCCCAAACGCCTTATATCTACCAGAATATTCGGCATAAACAGAATGTTTCCTGAACATGTGCTTGCTTGATTCCTACACTTTTTGTTTTGTTGTGTTCCGCTTTTCTGATGTGTCCTAAGCTGTATACAGAGGTGGGGAACCTTTTTTCCCGCCCCCTGCCAAGGGCCATTTGGATATTTACAACATCATTTGCAGGCTATACAAAATTATTAACTTAAAAATTAGTCTGCCTTGCCGGGACCGGTTTGGCTCAGTGGATAGAGTGTCGGCCTGCGGACTGAAAGGTCCCAGGTTCGATTCCGGTCAAGGGCATGTACCTTGGTTGCGGGCACATCCCCAGTAGGGGGTGTGCAAGAGGCAGCTGATCAATGATTCTTTCTCATCGATGTTTCTAACTCTCTGTCCCTCTCAATTCCTCTCTGTGTAAAATCAATAAAATATATTTTAAAAAAATTAGTCTGCCTTATTTGGTCAAACATTTAATTAACTCACCTCTAATGCCTTGGCAGGGTCAGACCAAAAGATTTTAGGAGCCTTTACAGAAAAAATATTCTGAACAAGCACAAATGTCTGTGTTTTCATCTGAACATAGAGGTACCCTGTTTCCTCCAAAATAAGACAGTGTCTTATATTAATTTTTTCTCCCAAAGTTGCGCTAGGTCTTATTTTCAGGGGATGTCTTATTTTCGGGGAAACATGGTAGGAACAAGTAGGATGATACTCAGAATGGAAAAGGGATTGCATGTGATGTTCCGCCCATGTGGTTTGCAACCGTGGAAGAACAGGAAAGCAGTCTTCACAGTGAAGGCCTTTTGATTTGTCACGTATCTCCCAAACATAAATCTCTGTCCTTTCTCTGGTTAGAAACATTAATAGATAGAATGCTCAAATAGCTCTCTTGTGCTTGTAATTGTTACCAATAAGAACAAGCTCTCATAAATCAAACTTTGCATTGGTTAAAATTACCCTGTCCTTAAGGTTCCTGATCTGTTTCTCTCCTCCTGCCCCCTTTTTTTCCAGCTCTAGCTGACTCTCTAGATTAGGGGTGTTGAACTCAATCAGAGAAGGGGCCAAAATCTAAAATCCAGCCTAAATCGCGGGCCGAATGGTTTACTGAACAGTCATAAACTGTCATTGTGATGGAAAGGCAGCGGAGTGCAGTGATGACAGTGCGGTGCGGGCCACATTGCAAGGCCTGGCGGGACGGATTTGGCCCGCGGGCCTTGTGTTTGACACATGTGCTCTAGATTATGTGTCATTAATCTTTTCTCCTGGCTTCTCTCTGTTTTGTTTTGTTTTTTCTGCCCTCTCCCGTCTTCACTTCAAATTGGACGTACTTCATGAAATGACATCTAGGTAGTTCAGTTATTCTATTGAATTGAACTTAAATTTTGGGTGAACTATATTTTAAGCATTTTAAACTTAAAGCTAATGTGAAAATGTTGGACTATGTACTAAAATAAATATATTAAACTTAAGGCCATATCAAACACTGTAAAAATTACCTTGTTTTCCTTCTATTAGAAATCTTGCAGGACATAATTCACCTTCTGAGTCGTGATGTAATTTAGATTATATTTTATTAGACATTCTTTACAAATTTAAAATACTGCTATTTTTACATGCACAGAGGAAAATCAGTTTGGATAATTATATTTAGGAATTCATGAAGATCAACCACAAAATAGAGACACTTTATTGTGTCATTTATCAACATACTTGATATGTATATCTAAAGTGCATTATGTTACAAAAAATATAGAAATTCAGCAGCACCAAGATACATTTACAAAATAAATACATCAGTTGACAAAATAAATTATGGTAAATGTGATAATAACAATTGGATTAGCCTTGGAAAAAATATTCACAATGACCAATGTGCAGTTTCATAGAGCAATGAGGGAGACAGTTTTATTCCAATGCATTTACAGTATTTACAGACAATAAATATTTCTAATACTTTCCATATGTTCATTATTACAGAATGCTGCAATATGTCTTCTGAAGGTCTTTACAAAAGTTTCAATGCCTCCTGAAAAGAGAAGGAAGGGAAAGAAAAAGGGAAAATAAGTTAATTATCCTTACAAATGAAGAGCCAAAATAAACAGTACAAATTAAGGAACATAGAATCACATAGAAATAGATCTAGGGACTCTTTGTAAATATCTCTTACAAGAGGTGACTGGGGATCCGTCTGACTCTCTAAAACCTTTTCAACAGTCACTAAGCCATCCAAATTGTCAATGCAACGCAGAAGAGAAAGGCTTGCATTTCTAAGTATACTCTGTCAGAAAAAGGAGGCCCTGTGAGATTTTCCAAGGCTAACAATTGGCAAGTTTGGGAAGGGAAGGCACAGACTTGGGACTCTGGAAATAAGGCTAGGTTGTGCAATCCATCATACTTAGAAATTTATTCCGCAGTGATACCTGATGGAGGTGATCTATTGGTGTCTTATTTTTCCAGGTTCTCACTTGGCCAATCTCTTGCTAAGATAAAGGGCTGTTGTAAGGGTAATCAGAAGTGCGTGACTGGGGTATATGTTGGAGGAATGCATAATTAAACAGAGTATGTTTGGTTAATGATTTGATGACATTTATCATTTTCTTAACTGTTCTTAAACACTAATGAATGAAACTGTCGTTGGATTTTAATTTTTGAAGCCAAATTAAAATAGGTTCGTTTATTATTTCGCTGGTTTTTTTTTAGTGGATCTTGCATTGAAAATTTGGAAAGCCTATTTTAAATTAGCTAATAAGAATCAATTGATTAAAAAGTATAAAATAGCACAAGCAAGGATGGAATGAATAGCATTTTGAACAATTATTTTCTTAGAAATAAAAGAAAAAAGAAAATTTAAGGGCCAAAGGAAAGATCATTTAATATATTTTATACTGCCCAGTTTGCTTGCTATCCTTCCTTTTGATTTCCTTTTAATAAAGTCATGTATTAGACTTGCCAAGAAAACCATATAACATGACCTAGAAATATATGTGTATGTTTATTATACATGTGTGATGCTTTAGAGTCCTAGGTCTTTTGAATACTGAAAGCTTTTATATTATTTCTAAACCTATATATACCAAGGCAAATATATGTTCTCAATGAAATGAGTCCTTCTGAATCTGGACATCTCATTTGCAACATCAAAATTTCTTAAGTTTAAAGCTATATATTTCCCACGGAGTGGTCCATGAAGAAAAGCCAGACAGTTTTAGCTCAGCAATTTCTATTAAGAACTAAGATAGGTATTATAATAAAGTTCATCGCTTTCCATGTCAGACCTCTCAGGTGAACATATAATAACGCAGAAACTAAAGAGAGGATAATGATAAACATTTAGTTGCTTATAAAACTTAAAAACATAGTTATTCTGAAAAGATTCTATTTGTACTACAAAATTTACATGGCCCCAGATGTTCTCATCAATACACTACTAAATCTCCCCACTCTTCCCTGCACCTCTGTTGGGTTGTATTGGGAGAGTGCCAACATCTGGCTGCCAAACAAACAGTGCTTTCCATGAACGTTCCTCACAACCAGGGAGTAGAAAGGAGAAGCAGAAACATTCTATTTCTTTCAGTCCTAAGTCTGGATTTAATTAGGCCACTGCCTAATTTTTACTAGCTCTACTTTAACATAAGGATAACTTTGGAATAAGAATTGAAGAGTGCTGATTTTCATTAATTCTCTGGATACTTAAGAGCACTGCAAATTGTAAACGTATAAAATCCATAAAAAAGTATGTATACTTCTGTTTTTAAAATACACACGCACGCACACACACGCACATGACACACACAGAATAAGATAATGGGTGAAAATAGGTTCTGGCAATAGAGGCCTTCCGTTAGTTATAAATAAGTGCAGTTAGGATCATATTTTAAAGTACACTGAATATCTGCATTGAGCCAACATGTATAACATGTATAAGGCCTGTTACCCCTTACAGATCCATTAGACACTGGCTGAATAGGTCTTTCACGGTGCTAAAGATTTCACTAGTGCCACTGCCCATTGATTACTGAAGCTGTACTATTAATCCAATATAGTTATCATTTTATAGGCTATTTAATTCTGGGTTTTCTCCACTTAGAGAAGTGATGGTAAATTCAAACACCCCTTTGAAACATCACTCTGTGGTCCTATCTCTAGTCAGGGGAAAGAACTGGAGAAGGAACAGGGGACCCCTTAAATACTGAGATCATTAGCTGCATAGGATGCATTCTTTCTTTCAAACCCCATAGAAGTGCTGTAGTGAAAAGTAAAAAAAAAAAAACAGCTCCTATCAGTGGAAATGCATAGGTCAAGGGGCAGCACTAACAGCACTGGCCCAAGTGCCAGGAAATGGGGAAATAAATCCAGTGCTGAGGACTACCTATCCCAGTTCCCAGGACTGCGCAGGTCCTTCACTGGGGAGTGCCTTGGTTTTCTAGGCTATAAAATGCAATTAATACTGCCCCCCCCCCCTTTATTTTTGCCTCACAGAAACACACACACTAATATAGATAGATTGAGTGGACAAACAGAACCATGCCTAAAAGTGCCAAAACAACAAGTTGCAACTTATTGTTTACTCTATGATAGGCATTTAACCCATGTAATCTCATTTAATCTTTATCCAACCCAAAGAGGTTGGTACAATTACTATCTTCATTTCAGAGAAGAGGAGAATGAGTCTTGGAAAGACTAACTAACTTGTCCAAGGTTGTGAACTCTAACATTTAGACCCCAAATTTAAAGCTAAGGTATGTGGCTCCAAAGTCTGTGAATGTCATTACTACCTGCAGCCATGAGCTGAGGATAAACCAGCCACATAGATATGAAATTTTATTATTCTTATTGCAATATCCTAGAAAACTTTCTCAACTTGCCAGTGGACAAATAGATACATAAGAAAAACATATCCTTCCCAAACTAATACTTAAAAATGTTCAGAAATCATGTTGGTTTTTTTTTTCTTGTAAACTGGTAGAAATCAGAGTTAAATTTAATTAAATAAATTTAAAGTGTATGTTTGAATTTTTATTTAAGTAAATATAAAATTTAATTACATAACTTAAATAAAAATGTGAATGTCTCAGAATTATTTATGGTAAGATATTGTTCTATAGTTTTGGGGGCAAATCAAAGCCTTCTATGTCCTTCCCTGAAGTGAAAAGAAAAAAAAGTAAGAAATGAAAAATGATCAAGAAAGTTTGTTAAGGTGTGAGAGTGGGGAAAATACACTTCTCTAGCAAATAATGAAGATAAGCCTTGGCTTTGGAAGCTTGAGTAAGAAATGAAGTTATTTAGTGGAGTACTAAAATATTGGTGTTGGAGAGTGAGATGAAATGGGTTATGAAAGCCCCATGTTATGGGGGCAGGAGGACACTGCTTGAAGTCAGACAATATTCTGGGTCATTTTGGTTTTGCAAGATTTACATTGTGGAGGGATTGATGGGGGTCGGAGGGTCGGGGGGTCGGGGGGTTGGAGGAAGACAGAAAGTTTTGTCCAGGCCAAGGCAGAGGGAAGCTACACCCTCTGCTGAGAGCACAAAGGACAGGCTTTGGGCCAGGGAGCCAGTTACCTACCGGAAAGTGAGCTCCAGCGAAGTCCCGGAGATGTCAGACAGGTGGTCCCCTTCCAGCCCACTGCCAGCCACGCCGGCACTTAGCCAGGCCGATCGAGTCCGCCGCTTCTTCTTTTCCTGCTCCTTGCGTTTCCCAGGCTTGCCTTTCTTCTTCTTGCCGGTTGTCTTCAGGGGCTGCTCTTTGTACGTTTCCACCTTGTTGGTTTCCTGAGTCAGGTATCTGCCCTCATCGTCAGACCCAAATCGGACAGGATGGTTCTTTGTGTTGGGGGCAGGCTTGGAGTTGGGGGAAACCTCCGAGGTAGTTCTGATTTCAGCTGTGTGGATCTCTGCAATCAGGTTGTGAAGGAAGAATCGTCGTCGTAAGTCTTGGATGGACTTCCCCTTGTCATGGAGGAGCTGATGTTCAGACACGGCTCTTTTGCTTTAATGGGGGGGAAAAAGCAGGAGAGAAAGGAAGCAGTGAAACGTTAGTTGTTGGTAGAAACCACACAGGAAGGAGGGATGACCTTTAGTTTTTCAGCTGCTCCCATACAGGACACAAGGGGCAAGAGGAGCAAGCTCTGCAGCAGGGAAGGGGCCAGAGTGGAAGGGCAGGCAGCAGCAGTGACTCAGAGTACCAGCTCTGCAGCTTATACCATGTCTGTGACCTTGGTGAGAAAGCAAACATTCTTGGGCCTCCTGGTCCTCTCTATTTAAAAGGAAGAGGTCAGATTCAGTGATCTCTGTGCTACCTGCTCTATTTAAATATGATTCAGTTATTCTCAGAAATGGACAGAAACCACTGAACTGCTTGTACATTTTCCAGTCGTGGTGGGGAAATAAATTCAGAAGTCCTAGCCTGGGAAATAAAAAATGAGGCTGATTTTTACCTGAGTCCTTGCCCCAGGTGTGTGTGTGTGAGTGTGTGAGTGTGTATGTATCTACACACATGCACATAACCATGTGCACACGCGCACACTAACACACACACACACACACACACACACACACACACACATTACTCCCCCATTAAGAAAATAATCATACTGAATCTCAAAGAACAGCGAGCTGTAAGAGCAAAAGCAAACAAAGACTGAAGGATAAAGTGAGCAGTGAAGCCTGTCTAGGAAACTGCCTAACAGGCTAAACTTTAACATGTTAGACTACAGACTACCAAGAACCTATATGTGAAGGCCAACTGTCAGAGAAAGCACGCATAATTTTCTGGAAAGTGCTGGGTGGTCTCTTTAAAATGGATTTCTTTGTGTGTTTAAATTAAGTGAGATCATTTTATTTTTTCTGTGCATCTTTTTTTTTTTTAATTTTAATTAGGGATTTCAGAGGGTGTTATCCTTAGTACTTAGTTAAGAAATTCACTTTTTTTTTTACTTGTTCTTTTTCTTAAAAGTGTCTCCTCAAACATATATGATGTGATTTTTCTATTTAACCAACAATCTCATAAAAATATAGTGAAAAAGAATAAACTAATTTGCCATCATCAATCCTTTTAGATGACACCCTGGCTTTTGCTTCACCGTCCACCCATGAATATTTAAGGGTGACATACATTAATCAGTCATATTATGCCAGCTTCCACTCTGCCTATTTCTGCCACTGAAATAAACCTCTGGCCAAAGGAGTTCATTTCCAAAGGTTTCTGAGGGTATTTCACAGGGCTACATCCCGTGTACCCTTACTCTCCAGACACAGTGGCATCTGGGTCCCTTATAGCTTTCACTAGTACAAGCTTCTTTACCTCCTAAAAGAAATATGACAATAACAAACATCCCCATCCTCCTTTTTACAGAAGGGAAGGTGAGGTCCAGAGAGAGAAAAGTGCCCCACCTTTGCCCACACAGTGAAACTGGGCAGATCCAGGGCCCCACCAATGAGTTCTGTGGATTCACAACCAACATTGCTTTTTACCTTCCTCAACCCTTTGTCCTGCTGACGCTGACATGTATGTTGAGAAAAAGGCAGGGAGTGAAAAGCCTGTGGTGGGAACCATGACAATGGGCAAGTGGACAGCAGTGTAGCACTTTCCTTGAAGACCAAGCTTATTGCCCCAAGACATCAATTTCCATCACCAAAATAAAGAACTGGGATGCCTAGGGTTTGGATTTTCACTACGGGAATGAGAGATTGTCTAGTTACACTGTGAATCAAAGAAGGGTAAACCAGGAGAAAACATTCATTATTTCTCTGGACCTTTTAGCTAGAATGCCAGCTTCCTTTTAGTATTTCAGTGCGTGGACTGACTTTAAGCCGTGAAGCTTGTTAAAAAAAAAAAAAAAAAAAAAAAAAAAGCAAAAAAGCCATGACTTAATGGAAAGGAATTTAACAGGAGCCTGGTTTAAATGAGGCATGAAGGAGTCTCTCTTCCTCATTGAAGGTGCCGCATGTGACTAGATTAAAATTCACTTACTTTGTGGCAATAGTTAGTATTCTGGAAACTTTTAATAATCTACAAATTTGAAGCTTTGGTACAATATATTCATATCCTCTAATAACATTTTTTAGAGAATAGGACTGATGTAATTGTATATTTCATAAGCACTGCAGTTTAATAAGCATCTTTTAGCAAAATGTCACATTAAAAATTTCTTAACCAACTTTCCTTTATAGTATTTAGAGATTTTTTTTCTTTCTCGATTCCTGGCAGATATCCACCCCATCTATATTGCTCTCCAAAAGTATAATACAACCCATTCTAGCGTAACCTGAAGCCAAAACTTTCAATGGTTGGCCTGATCTAATCAAGCCACATTGCTCATGCCCCCTGTGACTGGCATATATGCCTGTCTCCTTGGCCAGCCTGTCACTGTGAGTCACCGTGCCCTCCTAATTCAAGTCTTGCACTTTCCCAGGATGGTTCTCATGGGAAAAGGAGGGATCGTTCTGCCCTTCTCTCTCAGAAAAAGCCTACAATATGGCACAATTTTGTCCCGTTTAAAACAGAACACCTCTTGTGAGGCACAAAACTTCTTTCTGCCTGTTAGGGGTGATTGCTAATATATTAGAAAAAGTCAGATTTTCTTCAATGCCAAATCTGAAATGCTGTTACAGAATTTACACAAAGATTTCTGTACTTAAACACATGTGAAGAATTAATTTCTAACTGGGCAAGTGCATTAGAGGATCAAGATTATAATATTGAATAGTATCTTTATTTCTTAGTAAGAAATAAGGTCCATAGAATGTTCTATTTATTTTCAAAACAAGATAGAAACTGATACAAGGATAAGGACTAGTCTGTACAAACCAGATATACATAGGTAATAAGTAGTGCATTCAAATTAAGGAGGATTTCAATTTAGATGACTCTGAAATATTGAAGTTGTAGATATGGCCTCTATAATAGTCTGCTACTCAATATGCCTGTAAACATTACATAGCACAGCGGTTCACACAGAACTTATGACATACCTGAGCTCCAACATGGGAAAACAAGTATGTTATATTCATGGTCTCCTTTGCTTATTGTAAGAAAAACAATTGTAAAAATGTGGGGGGAATGCTTAAGCTGGATAACTCTCAATTCAGTCAAAATACAGCTGTTTTAAAGAAATATCACCCTCAAGGGAGTTTTCAGGGAAGATTAAATTTCTAAAGAATCATCAAGGAACTCGGGGACTAAACAGAGCGATGGGAATTCCTCTTCCAGCAGAGCAAGCAGCAGTGTGTGCCCGTGCTAGGCTCCTGAAGAAGGAGTCTGAGTTTGAGAAGAAAAGTTCTGTGGTACAAGGGAGAGTCAGGGTTAGGGTGTTCGAGTGAAGATGACTCACCAGAAGTCCCTTCCAACCCAAATGACTCAGTCCAAAGTCATGCTTTTCATTAAGTGGAAGGGACCCAGTCTGGCTCCCCAGCAGATCAGCCAATGATGTTTTAGATTTCTGAATCTATTGGGGTTCCACCTCTAACTTAAACACAAAGGTTGCCACCTGCTGCAAGCCATATTCATCTGGACAGTAACACCCAGAGACCTGACTTCAAGCCTCCAATCTACCCATGCTCTAGCTTCACTAATGAAAGTCTTTTGGATTCACAGACCTGTGTTGCCTCTTTTTGCACGGCTCAGCAGACAGTGCTTTTGGTGCAGTAGTAGTTTCCTCTCCTTTAAAAGTTAACCTCCTCCGTTAGAAAACCATCCACAGCGATTTCCCTGATACTTGGCGTGAAAAGCAACTAGGAAGTAACATGGTTTGGTCCTATGTTAAAATTTCTTTCAAGAAACTAGGCTTATTTAGCACACTAGAGGACTAATGTTTTGTTTTATTGTTACTTGGCAGCAATGCCAAAATAAAGACTTGTTTTTTAAACTCCATTTGGCTATAATAATTGGATAAAGCATCTTCCTCTACTGATGATTTCAGTCTCCATGAAAAAACATGGCAGTAATGTGATGATCCATTAGCCATTAATTATAAGAATGTTCTGTGGTAGTTTTATAACCATCTTCTGAGTGTGAGTGTTTGACTACAATATTATATTTCACCCACAAACAAAACTATAACAAGAGTCTTGGCTGCTAAATGGGGTTTTTAAATGTGTATTTTGCAAGGTGCAACAACAACAAAAAGAGTTAAAAATAGCCTGTAGGACAATTAGCACTATTTTAATGCCGTGACTGTGGATTTAATCATGGTCCATTTACTGTTTCTCAAAAAAGAAAACAGGTATTTCTTAAACAACTTTAAAGAAAAGTTGGCTGGCTTCCAACACAGTATTTCTTGGCCAAATAAATACAGTATTTAAGTGTGCTTTTTAAAAATTCACTCTTCAAAAAAAAAAATTCATTCTTCATCTATATTTATATATGGATCTTAAATAACAGAACTTAATACAAGTTTCAAAATGAGCAAAAAGCCTGAAGATAATTTTCAGAAATACATCCGCAAAACATTGATTTGAAGAATACAATGCAGCTTTATCTGCAGTACAATGTTCTACACAATTTGCCTTAGGAAATTCATAATAGATTTTCATTTTGGTGCCAAAGTTCAGACATGTCTACAGTAATTTCATTTAAGGATTTTTCTGCTCTCGTGATAGTAGACCAAGGGCCTGCGTAAAACTGTTGCCTGTTTGTACCCCTTTGGGAATTCACAAGGAAGCACCGGGGACTCGATTGTAAATACCAGATATTGCTATTTTTCACTGTTAGTGCAAAAGTTCCCCTTAATTCCTTCTCCAGAGGCAAACACGTCTCAGTTCTCAAACTTCATGGGTTTCTCATCCTGAACACCGAGTCTGCAGTATACAGATACCCAAAGACAGTGTTACACACATTAGTGAACAGCGAGGTCCAATAGATGACAAAGATAGAGTCACTCTACCACGCTTCCATCTTTTCAGTCAGACAACATAGCGATATTTATCTGGTGTACTCGGATGGATGATTATTTTAAAGTCAAAACTATCCTTAAAGCGATCACCAAATGAGAATGCCAAAATACAAGTTTTCAGTCTCCAGTGCAACACCCATCGACCTGGGGCTCCAGGTTAAAGAACAGTTAGCCATCATTTCCCCGAAGAAAAATCCCCATACCTAATACTCATTTGGTATCAAGCAACTCTAGCATTGCTGAACGGTATCAATACTAAAGCTGGAACTGGGCCATTGCAAAGTTGTTACTGCTTTCTTATATAATATGCCTTCCTTATGTAATGTGGTCCCGTTTTATATGCTTGAAATTATGTCATTCATTATAAAAGCAGATGCAAGGCTTTTGCTGTTCACGCACCAATTGCCACCCACATTCAGTATGGACACGGAGGTGCACATAGACATATGTGCTCCCCTGGATCCCTAGGCTTCCTCCTGGATGCCTCAGGGTTTCAAACCCTTCCCAGGTCCTGAAAGCAACTTTTACTTTTTCTTTCACTAGAGGCAGATAATCTTTGCTCAGAGGAGATCCTATTAAAAAACAAACAAACAAACAAACAAACAACCTCCCCAAAACCCGCTCCCTCTTATGGAAACTCACATATTATTTGTCTCTTGCCTATCTTTCCTGGAGGTACCCCAGTCTCCCGCTGGGGTTGAGGACCAGGGCTCAGCCCTCAGCAGGTAGCCGGTGCTCCCTGCTCTCTAGCTAACTTGGGCGGGCGAGGAGCATCCCTGCCAGGCAGCGCCCCAGCCCGGCGGCCTCTCCCCGGGCCTCCCCAGCCCTCGCTCCCGGCGCCCTGGGGAGGACGGGCACTTACAGCCGGCGGCCGAGCTCCTCCACTGAGCGCCCGCAGGAGGGCACCGAATAGCTCAGCAGGAACACCGCGACGACGCTCCACTGCTGTACCAGCCTCCGCAGCATCGTCTCCTCTCGGCTGGGCTGTCGGGACCTGCGACTGAGCGAGAAGGGTTTGAAGTGTCAATCCAGAATCTCCATCTCCCCAACTACCCTGCTCCCCCTTTTCGCCGGATCTCAAACAGCCTCTTCCACATCAAGGACATCTCCCAATTGCAAAGAAAAAAGAAAAGAAAAGAAACTTTCTCTAAAGCCTCTCAGCACTTACTTAGTTAGGAATCAGCTACTCCAACTGCGCTTTTGCCAAACCACACAGGCAGAAAGGGACCAAAAAGGAGGGAAAAAAAAAAAAAAAAAAAATCAGAGGCGCTTCCTCTGAAATAATACCCAAAAATGAAATAGTTCTATACAGGCATCAGGGATGAGCAGCGAGAGCGTGTTTACAGGTCTCCCATAGCAATGTCTCATTAATCTGGCCGGCGGCGCTCCTCCCGGGTGCGTGGAGCCAGGCGAACCCCTCCTACACAGAGAAGCGAGTTCCCTCCTCCGAAGTCAGCTTCTTCTCCGCGGGCCAGAGCCGTCCAGTTCCAGAGCCACTTGCGGGGAGCCCCACATATATACACATAGCTGTCTGTCTGCCTCCTCGGGTGGGCCGGTTTGCTTCCGGAAAGCTGATGCCACACAACCCTGAGAACCAGTTTCAAGTGCGTGTGTCGTCGATGAAGGAGGGCCAGGTGGCCGCGAGGGCGGGCTCAGAGCGGCGCAAAGGGGCGGCGGCGGGCGGCCCGCGCTGCGGGCGGGCGGGGACGCGTGCTGCTGGCCGAGCCGGCGGCGCAGGTTGGAGGCTAGTGCAGAAGCAGAGGGAGAGCCGGGCGGAGGGAGGGAGGGAGAAGGTTCACACGCTCCGAGGCAAAAACCTGCGGAGAAGTGAGCGAGTCGCACAGAGGTGGCGCCCTAGGAACGCGCGCGGGGCGAGCGGAGGGCGCGCGGGGGCGGGGATGGGTGGCGACGGGCGGCCGGAGCGCCCCGCTTGGCCGGAGCGAGCGAGCGAGCAAGCCCCAAGCGAGCAAGGGGAGCCCTGGGCTGGGAATGCTCTGCAAGCAAAGGAGCCGCCCGTCCGATCGCCTCCCGCCCGCCCGCCGCCCCCGACGCTGCCCCGAGCTCCGCCGCCGAGCCCCACCCCGGAGCGCCGGCCCCGCCGCGCCGTCTCGGAGTCCGGCGAGCGGGCGCGTGGGCGGATTCGCTCTCCCCCTCCGCGCCCTGCCGGCCCCGGACCGCCCGGAGGATCGACCCGCCGAGGTCCCCGAGGGTGTGTGTGTGCGGATGGGTCTGGGCAGCCACTGACCTCGGCGCGCCGCGGCCTCCGGGGCGGGTTGGACGCGCGCGGCTGCCGGGGCCGCCGGGGGCGGACAGACTCGGAGGAGGCAGAGCAGACGGGGAGGGGGTGGGGGGCTGGGATCCTCCGCGGGGAGATGCGGGGCTGTGAGCCTGTGGCTTTAAAGAGCCCCCGATCTCCTCCCCTTGCCCCCTGGAAAGCTCGGAGCGCTACGTGGGCGCCCTACTGGCCGGCCCTTCCTGGGACGAGTTGAGTGGGAAGAGTAGGCTAGGGAGGGGGAGATCGCCGCTGAGAAGAGGAAAGACGGTTTCGGACTGCAGGTCGAGATTGCGCGCTGTGCTGCCTCCGAACAGCTGAGGACACTGGGAGCCCGTCCAGGAAAGCCCGCGCGCACGGGACACCCCCTTCCGAACGCCCGGAGGAGAGCCTGCCGTCCTGGAGAGCCCACCGAGCAGGCGTCTAGCCCACGCTTTTTTTTTTTTTTTTTTTTTTTTGATAACCGACTCTGTCACCCCTTATCTCCCCCCCGCCCGGGGGTCCCTGGTTGCTTATTCTAAGGCGCCTCTTCAGCCCGCAGAGGCGGCGAGGCTAGCATTGTAGGTCGCGCTGCCTCGGAGAAGCGGAGAAGCGAAGGGAAAACCGGGGGCTCTTCCCAAAGCCATTGGGTGGGGAAGCAAGACTGCTCTGAGCAACTGGGCAGCATCTCCCGGAAGGATGGCAGCGAATGCCCTCCCAAGGGTTCCTCTATTGGCGGTTGGGAACCATTCAAGAGATGTTTGTCTTCTAGAATCCTACTGGGAGGATTCATTGCTCTCTAGAAGGCAAGAGTGACAGAGATTTCAGACCCTTAAGGCAGGCTGACCTCTATCAAGCCTGGCTGTGAGGCTGGTGCTCCACAGATGTGCCACTGGGTGGGCGAGAAACAGCGCCCTCTCACCGACCCTCGCTCACCTTGGTCCCTTCACCTCCTTTCCTAACTGCAAGCCAGCAATTAACACTTGCTGCTTAGTTTGGGTTTGGGGTGGGGGGCAACATTTCTCAAAAGCTGCTCTCTCATTTGATTGCTTTAAACTTCTTGCTTAAAAAAAAAAAAAAAACAAAAACCCACAACACAAAACTTGGCGTCCTCCCACTTAAAAAAATCGCTGGGAATTTCCACAATTTTCCCTTGAAAGTTTAAGAATGTCTAAACGTTAGACCTGTTTGCATGGCATGAAAAAACAAAGTAACAGGACTAAAAAATGTCAACCTTTGAACCTCTAACACTTTCTGATTTATATGAAATTCTTTCCAGAAAGACACAGGAGCCTTAATGTAATCCTTAGATCTGAAGGGGGAAATCTGTAAAAAAAAAAAGTAAATCACCAACGAGCCATTTAATACTTGCAAGTTGTTTAACATTAAAGTGATAATATTTGCTTCCACAATAAAAGAGAAAGAAGAGAAATTTAAAAAAAACAAAGGTACTTAGCCAAGTTTCAAACTAGCCAGGCTTTTGAAAGTCAACCCTCCCCCAATAAAGGTTAAAACAGAGATTGAAAATATTAAATCACTTATGCTATAAGTAAATTCATTATACTCTCAGGACATTATAAAGACTGACATCAATAGACCACTTTGATTTATGTTGCTTTTTAAAAACTAATTAAACAAAATTGACCTCCTCCTCTCTCGCCTTCTTTCCTCCACTCACTCTTTTGGTGTTGATGGCAAAACATCTCTCAAATATTTTTAGAATTTTCTCTCCCCCACAAAACAAGAACATATAGATACAGGAAAAGGAAATAGTCTTTATATACTCAAATACCAAAGTGTCCTCACAATTTAATACTTCACCTTTCCGTCGATTTACAGTCTCCTCTGTTCTTCTGGCCCAAGAAGGGGGAATCTTCTCAACAGTCTCTTCCAGAAGTAATTTTGTTTGTTCTTTAAAAAAGTAAAATTAAATCTTAAATGGCGATGATGATGAGAAAGCTAGGAAGCAGGTACCTCTTTTAAGGCGCCCTGTTAGTTACTTTCAGCAGAAACTCTCCTCAATATATAGCAGGACACTGACTTTCTGGCTTTCTGAAAAGGGTCTTTTCTGACATCACAATCTAGTTTCCAATATTACTGAGTAACCTCTATGATAATGCTGAAGACATGTGAATGCAAATGAGATGACTTCACATTGGGAGGCCTCTCTCCTCCTCCTCCTCCTCCTTCTCCTCCTCCTCCTCCTCCTCCTCCTCCTCCTCCTCCTCCTCCTCCTTCTCCTTCTTCCCTTCTCCTCTCCTCTCCTCTCTCTCTCCTTAGGAGAACAAGTGCCAATAGAAGCTGAATGTTTGCTCAGGCCTTGCTATCACATAAATGTTCTGTAGCAAATAGGATTTGAAGGCCTGTCTTTCATCTGAAGTATTCCATGAGAAGACCGTTTATCATTATGAGAACTGCATTTACATGAAAGAGTCCAATTTTAAGAAAGATTTTTCTAAAAATATAAATGCATTTTTACATTTCACGTTTAAATAACTGGTTGATGTATATCGCCAGGGATATCTCCTCTTGCAATTTAGAAGAAGAAGAAGAAGAAAAAAAGCATTTATGTTTAGCTTTTTCATCTTTCTTCCTTTTTTTTCTCCTCAGTCCAAACAACAAGGAAACAAACATGCAAATCAGAAGAGCATCTCTAGCTCCTTAAACAGTGCACCTGGGCTTAGACATTCCCTTATCTTCTTACCAATAAGCATCCAGACTTACTAGTAACATTTGCCAATCTGTAGCTCCAGGCTCTCTCTCTCAAATCCTCTGAAACCAAACAACTAAATTCATCCCTTCTCTACTCCAAACATTTTCTTCGCGTACGTAGAGAAGTTTGCATAATTAGCTCAAGTAAAGTTATCTTTTGATTTCATTTCAATAAATTCCAAATCACTTACTTGCCTGGACTGAGACTTGAAGGGGGGGGGGGGGCGGGCTGTTGCCAGCGGACACCGAGGTTGAGCAAAAAAAGGGGATACCATACCGTTAAATCCCAAGTAGAGTTAGGAAGGGGTGTGTGTTTCTTCGTTACATCTCTATCATTAGATGAGGATAAGACTGAAAGAGGGCCTCCCTTTTCGGGGAACAGGACTCGCTGCTGACATCTGGAGACACTGGCTCTGGGAGAAGCCCTAGGCATGCATCAGTTTCATTGGGAAAGTGGGTCTCACACCAGCCTCAACCTTCCTTACTTCCTGGGCAATGTTTAGCTGTCCCATAACAGGACCAGGAAGCCGAGCAGTGAGGTGGTTCTCCCCAAGGGACCTAAGCTAAGGTGAGGTGAGAAGGTCTTTAGGAAATGGGGGTCTCCAGAGACCACTTTTCCAAGATCCAGCACTTCTGTACCTCCTAACCCCCTTAGTATGAGCATCAAAACGTTTGAAGAATAATCTTGTCTTCTGGTTGGGGACTGTGTGTGTGTGTGTGTGTGTGTGTGTGTGTGTGTGTGTAAGAGAGAGGAAATGGATGTGTATCACATGAGTCCTGATTTCCTGGACCGATGCCTGCCTGATGCCCTTGGCTAGGCCGAGCTCTTGGCTTCTTGAAGTAGGCAGCTCTGTACTTGTTAGAGACCACAGGGAGAGTTTCAGGTTCCACCTGGCTCAGAGGACAATGTCAACCTAAAACCGATCCTGGCAGTGCCACACTGCCCTCCCGGCTGACACCCCACTCCCAGTGAGGGGAATCGTCCTGTCTTACAGTTTGGGCTCTGTCTGTCTGGAAGGCAATGCCCCAGAGCTGCTAGGACCTGGAGAACTGTTACCTCCCTAACACCATTCACCCCGGTGCAAAACCTGCCAGTTCACATCAGTCTGTCCCTGAGGCAGAATAGGATGCCAGCCCCAGGTTAGGATGCCCATCCTTTCACGCAGAGAGGCATCCAAACACTTTAGAGAGGGCGTTGTGTCTATTTCGCTTTGAGTTTCCTGATTATGGTGTCTGGGGGGTGGGGGGCCCTGCCTGCTCAATCTTGGGATTTGGTCAGAAATATGGCCCTGGGAGAGAAAACGGAAAATGGCATGCTCACTCCCGCTGTCACAGGAAGGAGAAGAGTGTGTCTCCTCTGTCTTTTGGTGAGGCCTGAGGGCGACAGGATGATCTTTATCAGCCCTCCACCTCCCACTTCAGGCTTGGGTCGCCCTTTGGAGATATGATCCCAAACAAAGACTCGGGCTTGGTGCCTGGGGGCCCTTTGGAGGGTCTAGCTACGCCCCCCCCTTCCCCCCACACTTCTCTCCTTTGGAATGTAGAGCCCATAGAATCTGCTCTGTCCCCACTGGTAGACCTAGCGCTGCGTTTCCTTCCCTTGCCCTGCGTTTCCTTCCTCCCGCCCATTGAGTGCCTGGTTTCCAATACCATGGAGTCAGAGTCTAGGGAGGGGCTCCGCCTCTGGCTGCAAGCAAAGGAAGCTTTGGGAACAGTGTGATC